CTGGATGGGGACCCCGAGACGGGCCACATCAATGGCTAGGGACATTATCAGACATGGCCCAGTCGCGCCCTCAATGGCGCTCATGCATCAAAGCTATTGCCTTCAATGCATAGCTCCTTTTCCACCCACCCCCGCTTGACAACCCACTGACAGTGCTAGATTTATGCACCAATTTACCAGCTCGCGCGTGCAATGCGCAGCTACCTACCCCCTCCCCCAAATCATCGGCGAACGAAACTGTGGGAGCTACAACCAGTGTACGACCAGTACGCGGTTCTTACAGCTGACAATGATGATGATAAGCCTTTCGTTAGCGAAGATCGGGAGGGAAGCTATGTGCTAATTGCAACAGCTTCACTGCAAGGGCACCAGCGGTTGCGTGTCTAGATCATGTCATAGAATGTCCGTCAAATATTATTTTGTCCCATTTCGGAGCCTCATTCTAGGAAGACGCCAGTGACAAGCGCAGATGACTAATGGCTTTCATATTTCGGTGCGAATTCGTTGTCTGACCTCCGTTGGCTCGTTTTCAGTCATCGTGTGGTTGTAGGCCTCATTGCACGACAACTCTCTATATGATTGATGTAGTAAGAATGAAAGGCACATGACCCCCTAAACGTTCCCCATTGACCATATTTCAGACCTTGTTTGTATCAGTACATAAATCGAACCCGTTAAGGATAATGAACACACATTACCAAATTAAATTCGGTTGTCGCACCACTCTAGTTTAAGGTAAAATTAAATAAAGAAATTACTTGATCGATGGCAGACTGAATGCATGCATTAGTGGATTTATTCCTCTTGTATAACCTAAAAGGGCCGTTGAACTGAGCACAAGAAAAACTAATTTATGGGGATTTGTATAGTTTGTGCCCATCTTTAGCAACTTAACTGCTTCTATCTGACGGAATATACTCATTAGCAAACAAATTTGCGAGATACTCACCTGGATTGTAGCTAAATCTCTCGATTGTGATGTTTCCAATCAACTGAATGTGCTATTTGAGTTGGTACGATATTCAGATATCGCGATACATACATAGACGTAATACACTACTCATAAGGTTGCTGGAAAAGGTTGCTGGTCGAAGAATTTCCGACTAACTCATGACTATTGTATTGCTCCTCGTAATGTTTAAGCAACCTACCACTAGCTCATCTGTCACGTATTTTGCGAGTGCTCTGGCAACTCAGAGAGCAAGCGAATATTTTTATTCATTATTTGTGCTTTGGTGTACACGAATTCGCGGCGGTTGCCCAAATACTTTCTTAGAATGAGTTCATTGTGAAAGTTTTATTGCACCGGTTTGCATCCAATGCCCTCATCAGCACTTGTGATTTACCAGTTTCGCTACACGGGTTGGCGTTAGTAGAGTAAAATATCAAGACAAACACTGTGAGCATCACTTTGCAATTACTTGCGATATCGCTTCCGTGGCCAGGCGAAATCTAGAATTACACTATCATAAAGGCAGCTACTCAAAACTTTAACCCGAAAGATAAGCGAGTGGCAGAAATGAAGTGAATAACACAAGTCCAGTATTAAAAATATTTTCATTGATCATTTTTTCGATGATATCAGTCCCTGAGAGGGTGGGTTTTGATGGAAGAAAGAGAATATTTTAAACGCACTGCGTCCAACTGTTTCAAACATGCACAAACGTTGCAAACGTTAAGAATAACACAGTCTGCAAAAGCTCCCGATGAACACATGCGTTCCAAAATAATGCAAATTTCACCATATCTTTTGTAGTACACTTGAAGATGTTTCATTTGTCAACAAGTGCCGTTTCTCAAGAGACGAGAGTAAATTTATTTGAGAAACGTCCGGATGCAACCTTTTTAGAAGGTGAATACCACGTCCCTTCTTCTGGGTTTGACTGATTGGATTCAACAATCTATAGCAGCAACTTTACGCGCTTCGGGCTTCAGGTCTTAAACGATCCTGAAGAGGGAGAAGTCGAACTTAGTGTTTGCCCTTTATAGAGTTGGCTGTAGTTTCGACATCGATTCAGAAAACATGTTTAACAAATCCAAGCGGTCAACAAAAGAAGCGACGTCATTATGTGTAGAATATTATGCCCCAAATATCTGTGTGGGTTACAATCCACTTTCTAACCTAGAAAAATCGCCCACGCTCTCATCGAGTCATCGAGTAGGCTGTCCTAAACGCATCAATTTTATTAACAGCTGAATGTATGCGCGTATTTTGCTACTATTTGGATTTGTTAGACCAAATTCATCCGAATGAAACGGTCTTTGGAACCATTTTCTATTGAAGCTTACGTGCAGTACCGTTTGCCCTGTGTGCCGATCCTATGGACTTTGTTGACCATGCATTTTACGCGCTTCGTTTTGTGATTTCTACCGAGAAAGCTTTGAAACAAGATCTACGCGCCAGACCGTGCAGGTTTTTTGTACAGTTTACAGATTGTGCCGCAACATATGACAAGCAGTTCGATTTTTCGTTGCTTCCATATGTCCTTTCATAGTAAAGCAGATTAGGAAGCACATACCCAGCTATTTTTGGATAATAAGAGAACATAGAATAACCAAGTGGAGTGAGTGTACTTTATGTGATTTATGGTGATGAACAGACAATAATGACCTTCGTCAAGCTTTTGGTGAGAATTTCGAGTTTGATATTACTATTGCACCGAATTAAATTCAATTCGTAGGAACCGGTTTTCCTAAATTAACTTCCTGGGCGTGCGTTTCAATTGGTTTTCGAATTATTCACAAATGAACACAAGTAAATGTCAACTTGTATTACATTTGTATTCTTTCGTGTAGCTCCTTATGCCCGAAAACTCCAATCGCTTCTCGGCATACTATTTTGTTGCATCCTGGCCGTTTGTTTACTAACCGCGCTACTTCTACGCATTCGGTAAGTCGATGTTTACGGTAAACTGTATACGGAACACACCTCCAAACTTCCTCAGTTTATCTTAATTCTACGGGAATAGAGTGTGTTCCAACCAATCAACCAATGAGAGTCAATAAAAATTTACAGTCACAAGCAATGGGGAAAGTCAGACTAAAAGACGCTTTTGTTTCAACGTCATGTTAGTGTAAATTTGTTAGGAAACATTATATTTGGTCTTCTGATCTATAAGTAGAATAATTTCGTCTTCAGAAAGTAATTTGAGACTTCAGTCTTGCTTTCACCCTAATAAAACTATTGTTTGGTTCATAAAGGAAACTACTTACAAGGTTGCTGTGAACGCCCCTCATGAATCTCTTGGCTGAAAAGTATTTTAAATGTTTCGTCCCGATATCATAGTAAAACAAAAAGTTTTTGAAAAACATGTTTAAATATTTTTTTGCATTCGAGAGAAATGTCACAACCATGAAATGACATACCTTATAACGTGAACACCTTAGGAATCACTCAGTAAATATAGACCGTATTTGATCGGTTAGTCGGCGATCGTTACTGACGCTTGATACAAATCTATTTTGTGGATCCCCAGTTTGCTATTTTACGTACATACTGCATATACATATCCTTCCAGGGGAACGTTTTATTAAATTCACGCTGTTTATGCATTATTAACCAAGTGATTATATCCCACCGTCTGCCATTCAGTCACTCAGACAATTAGACAATCATTTGTTCTCTCACCCACTCACTTCATCTGTTAGTCAGTCAGTCAGTCAGTCAGTCAGTCAGTCAGTCAGTCATTCAGTCAGTCAGTCAGTCAGTCAGTCATTCAGTCAGTCAGTCAGTCAGTCAGTCATTCAGTCAGTCAGTCAGTCAGTCAGTCATTCAGTCAGTCAGTCAGTCAGTCAGTCAGTCAGTCAGTCAGTCAGTCAGTCAGTCAGTCAGTCAGTCAGTCAGTCAGTCAGTCAGTCAGTCAGTCAGTCAGTTAGACAGTCAGTCAGTCAGTCAGTCAGTCAATCAGATGGTCAGTTGGTGTTTCATGGAACAAAAAACGAGTTGATAGTGTTCCCTTGGTTGAGGATGGGGATATTAAGTGAATAAGATCCGTGCGATAAAATCACTAATCTCAAAAGCTCTTTAACTTCACTTGGTTTGGTGTGCCGTGGCCGTCAGGGAATGATAGAGATACTCGGCAATGGCGATAGCATTGAGATGGCGGGATTGCACTTGGCTGCGGAATATATCCCAATCTGTCAACTTCACCGAAATTGGTTTGCCACGTCGCGTGGTCCAAACAAGTGATGGCGGCTGTTACTAGCGTGACCGAATTCAATTATAGTGGCTTACATGCTTCGTTGTCACTTCCTGGACTGAACGCTGCAGGAGTCATCATCATCATCGACAGCATGACATCAGTGTTCAACACCGATGCTTCACTGCCGTACGACCATGATTTATTTGAAAGCCTTATTGTAAAGAAAAGAGTAGGATTGGACGAGGGATTGACTTAGTGCTAGCTCACCACAATCATTTCGAGGTGTCTATACCTCCAGGCACTCATTCTGGCAATCTGGATAGAAACTGACAACAAGAACGCCACTGACATCGGTTGGTAGCCATATCTTGTAGTGTCTCCAAACTAGGCACAGTGAGTGACTGAATTCGATACATGGCAATGCGAAAATGGCCCCCCGAGGCAAAAGGCCCTATGAACTCAATTGGAGCAATTTATGCGGATTTCCAAAACGATTCAACGAGGAATTGCATACTTTACAGAGAACTAGCTGGGATATCAAAGTCTTACTATTATGATATTCTCAAAAGTCTCGCGCAACGCTTTCGGGGTACCAATGGTCAGACACAGAGTCTCAGAAGATCTACTTGCATGGGCAGGGCAAACAGCACTGCCGTGCAATTTCCTCGTCATGTATATAGTCCAAATGTCGGAAACTGAAGAATGTATTCTTAGACTCCCGAAAACGGGATCAAATTCCATCTGCCATCAGTCCACCAAAACCTATTTAACTACCCAGATGGGCAAAATTATCTATCCATCGGTAGAAACATTTGAGATTTGGGTTTGATTCACCCCATTCTTGCAGTACCATTTCACAATTCCATAAGTTAGACTTGAATGCATACAGTTTCAGTGGAAGTATTCGTATTATCATTTAAAAGTGCTCTGCGTTTCCAAAGCGATTAAACATCGGACCACCCTATGTTTGTATGCAAAAGCCCAGGCTGCTTACATCCTCAGGGTGCTAGGGGCATATAAAAACGATAAAACTGGTGTTTGGTTACGAAGTTGAAACGGAATGGTGGTAAAAGTCACTTTAATAGGTCAGTTTCAGAGGTAGATCACTTAGCTTGATTCCTGTTTGACGTAAGATTAAGGGGCCAGTCGTTCCAGCGGGCTAATATTTACCTATACGCTATGATCCCTAAAAAACGGACAGGGGTATCATAGGTTTTACAACATACTATTTGTCAAAACTGTGTTACGTCACCTTGGGGCTTCCATTTGTATTGTCATTAACCTCACGTAAACATGAATAAAATTAGAATTTGGGAGAGTAGTTTTCCGTTAAGGGTGCATAATGTGGGCTTATACGTACACACGCCTCGTTTGCTGAATGAAGATATGAGCTGAAAATATGCGTGGTATTCATGAACGCAAAATGGCCCGCGCATATTTAAGGCATTTCAAAGCTACCTACATTCAGGTTTAAAGAGGGTTCGTTTGCCATTTTACAGCGGCCATTTCCAGTAAACCCAGACCAACAGCACGAAAATAGCCGTGGTGGCGTAGGAGCGTGTTTTATGTTTTTTATTTAGTTAATGAATCGGCTACGACTATATGTTTTTTAATTAGTTAATGAATCGGCTTACGACTATATGTTGTATTGCTGTGGCAAAAAACTATACAACTGATCCGGGGGCATTCATTCCGGTAATCGGGAACAGTTGTTCACTAGTTTGATCGGGGAAAACCTTTTTGGGTAAAACAACCTGTTTGAAGCTCCAAGTTCCAAGTTGAGTGTAGTGGACAATTAGGTAGTAAATAGAAAACTAATTTGAGTTTTTTAAACTTTTTTATACTGAATTTTCGCACCATATGACTCGCATTTACAAAAGCCAGTACCGAGAGGGACATTCTATCGGGATCTCTACTTGGATAAATATATATTCCAAATAACGGGTTCTGAGCTGTGAGCTGTTATATCCAGACTTCTCAACAACTTACGGCGCAATAAACGGTTTTCTACACATTTATGTTTCGTTTATATAGATGGGTTTTGATACAACCAACTTTCCCAGAATTTAAGCTACTCAGAGTTGAACGGTTACATTTTGAGAATTAACGTTTCACGATATAACGAGAGTTGACCAGTTTCAAGGGTTAAGTGTGGGTGCCCAGGCGCCTATTTTGTTAGCATGCAGTACCTTCAATCGCAAAGCCTCAGCTGCCTATTAAAAGCATTCTTTAAATATGCAGCTCCCTATATTGCCTCTTCACCACTTTTCCGAACCTCTAAAACATCTACAAAATTACAGCGTGAGAAATTCGCGCTACATCCGTGAACCTTCCTCTTCATGAATCCTAGTCAGAAAAACCCAAACGGCCCCTCCCTCTAAACTGAATTGGCAATGCCGTTAGGACTGTCACCGTACGCATGTAGAAGGCATTTTTGGATATTGGAAACTGACGGCGACGCAAACTGGTTCCCTGAGGTTTCATTGTTTCAGGAGTCAAAATAAAAGCATATCACCAATGATTTATAGCTAATTGTTACTCAGTTCTTACAACTACAAGTAACTCCAGACCGAAATGCTATCACCGTCGGACGATGTTTCAATAACGTAGCAAACCTTAGCGGTTTCCATCATATGCCCACAGGTTCGGCGAGATGATTGTGGTAACTGAAAAATTTAGATCGTATTACTTTTACCATCATTAGCATCACCGGTGTTGGCATCATCGCTGATACGAGCATAGTCACCAACATCCTTTCTCTTGCAAAAACCGGTAACCCTAGAGTCAGTGGTTTACAGTAAGAAGAACTTGACCGAAGCATCACACACAACGATTCCGTATACACTCGTTTACTTGTAGTAGCACGTATGTTCGCCTAAGTTGGGTAGGTAGACATCTGACAATACCGTCTGACATAACTTTGAACTTTTGACATTTCAGGGATGAAACATACGCCCATCTACGGATGTAAGTCAAAGCGAAGGCTATTATGCCCGCGATGACACGCACACATTACTTCAGTGATCCAAATTTGCAAATAAATTATCAACTGGTCATATTACAAGTGTTTGGGGTTTGCTAGTTCTATTCACAGCAATGTGACCGTTTTTCACTATACTCATAGAAACGGCATTTGTACTCACGAAACCACGTATTGTAAACCATGGTGCTGTTTTATTTCACGATATGTTATAAAGTAAGTTATTTAACATTACGCAGTAGTTAGTAGTTCGCCTTATTTTCTCGAACAGCCAAATAAATTGACCTTGAGATGATACTCCCGGAATGTTTCTCGTTGGCTATCTAATTTCAAACTATCAGGAGTTGCATTGTCCGTCGGCTGGCCTCGATGCGAACGCAAAGGCTATACCGAGAATCCGCTATTCGAGTGCACTTCCCCTATGACGTGGGTGACACCGAATGCTATGTGAAACCTCCCGTACCCAGTGTGACGTTCGGGAGTAACGTGTACCCAGTGGATTCCAGAGTACGCAATGGTCATGGTCCAACAGGTGGCCGCTATGGAAAAAGGGGCATCCAAACAGGCCATTCGTTGCATGATTTGAATTATTTGGAGCGAAAGCGCTTGAACGCGCTCATGCAAATGGGACCTCTTTCACAGCAGGTAAGTGCCAGATAAAACACTTGGGAAATTATTTTTACCAGTCTCACTCGTTTTATGCCGGAACATTCTCACCTTAATAGTCATATAAACCGAAAACGGCGTTTACCACTTTGAGCTTGATCGAGCGGTTCTCAAGGTTTCCAATGTTTCGAATTCATGGCATGCATAAAATAAACAGCATATTGTGGAACCAGCTGCATTATTTGTCCGCAAAGAGAAGCCACATTTTCACACAACCATATAGGTTTATTTTCTGGCCGTGCGCATCACATCATGACACCATAAAACGGAAGCCAGTAAGGTAGAGACCAAAACCCTTCCCATGTAAACGAAAAATAAAATTTGAGCTACGTTTTTCGTCGTCTGGAATGAAATTTCTACGAAGACATCCAGTTAGTTCTATGTGGAGCCAAATGTGTTGTAGCTGAACGATTGTTTCACAACGGAACCTACTCACAATGTTGCTGAAGACTCTTCGACGGTCCACAAGCAGTTTCGCTCTTCTTGGCGTTCATAAGGTTGGCACAGGCCCCCAGTTTCCGTCAACCTATTGTTTTACTTGAGACCAAATTGTACCGATTTCCACATACGCACTACTCCGTATATCAATTTGGTTTTCACGAGAAACTTAACTGAATCTCCCGTTTGTGATATTCTCCATTTGAATGTGCTGCACTGAAAGCATTATAAAACATAACTACTATATTTCCTCCTTATGTAAACAATTGCACCGGTTCACTTCTGTCAGACGCTTGCAACCATGTGCATCAAATAAAGGCTTGAACTAATATTAACGGCCTCCAGGTCATTGAATATGCTCTAGCTGAAATGAATTATCACGAAGCACATAGAAATAACCATAGAATAATTCCATAAATAATCGCCCACCTAATATATTGATGCGACATATTGCACTATACAACAGTAAAAGAGGAAACACAGTAGTATCCAGAATAGTAAGTCTGAAAAAGCCTTTTCGACGCACGTCCGTTCTGTGTACAAGAGGAGACAAAAGACACCCAACTCTCATGTTACCAAAATATTCGTTTATTTGCTTTCTGCTAATTTCCGAAACCACTGGTGGTTAAATGTTTTATAAGGCTTGAATGATTTATTGATTTATGTGTCTGTAGTGCATATGCAGAGAACTCCCGTTCTTCGTTCCTACACGTTGATTAGTCTGATTAGTTCCATCATCAAATGCGCAATTTCTCTGTGTTCTGTAAACTCAGCGGTATGCGGAGTAAGTGGGTTGTATTTGAGACTAAATACTGCAGTAAAAGATGCTAGTTACCGCCAAAGGACGATTCTTGATCGATAGAGATACTTTTGTCTTCACGTTTAGTTCGTTTGCTCTTTAGTCACAAAATTTGACAGGAAACATCGATCAACTAAACGTGCACTCCTGTTAACTGCCACTACTTGCTTTCGCATAAAATTAGTGGGCTCCAAAAATGAAGTAATTATCACCTCACTCCATAATGTCAGCTCCATCCGGGTGACAGTGTTAGATAGCTTTATCATGTGCGGGGAAATTATGTGTTCCGGGGACTGTATGTCGTAACGTGTACAGAAAGCTGGCTACTGGTAATAGGGCAGCTGACCTCGTGAGTACCAAATGCAAACACGTCTAGAAAACGCTACCTCAAGGAATGATTTAGTAGGATTTATTTTCAATTTCAGTAGTACTCGTTTTTTAATTTGGAGGAGATGGCTTAAGCCGTTTGTTATCATCCCCGTATCCTTATATATTCTTACGCCACTTTCTACCGCCTACTGCAAAGCTCTCAATACAGGAAGAGAGTGGCGTTATCCTGAATTACTGATTAATATCCGAGGAATTTGAGATCCGGGAACCCTTCAGTAGAAGGAACGACACACTAGATTCAACACAACTCCACCACATGTGAACATTTTGATCCATTTTTAGCATCATTGCTCCTTCCAAACTCAGGAGATTTGGCGTAAGAGATTTTTTGAATATACAATAAATTTCTATGAAAACGGGTATCTTAAAAGCGAGGAAGTAGCAAATACAGTGATAAATTATTACATTAAATCAGTGTACTAAGCTAGTCCTGTGGTACGAAAATGCGGAATTTGAATCACACAACAATGGCAAAGAAAAACTCTTATTGGTTGGCCAAGGTGAGATCATTGTTTGCAAGGGGACTTATGACGCAATTCAGTTTGGGTCGTCACTATTGTTGCAATTGCTTTTTATCCAACCAAATTGGATCCATTTGTTAGTGACTAATAATTTAGCTTATTTGATCCAACGGTTGATAAAGGGAACTGAAATATCGCTGAAGAAGTGTGTAGCTTCTTCGAATCTATTTCGTGAGATCATGTACTCAGCAATTCTTTGACATCAATGCTTAATAGTCCAATATCCAGCTAAATGACAGTTCACCATAAAATGCGTGTGGAGCAGCTGTTTGCCTTTAACGGTTGTGCTCATCAATCCGGCAATGTTGAATGAGGACCTTGAGTGAGTGGCATTAAACATTTCTGTGCTTGAAGTAGTCAGGCTCCACTTGTTTTATTTTAGAAGCACTATCGATTCTAAATAGTAGCTTGACAAATACGGACAACTCCAATTTATCGCGGACTTATACAATGTCTTGTGAACCACTGTCACAAACTTCGTGAGACACGCGCCTTTTCACGGGTCCCTCGACATGTATGCCGTCTCTGCATCTAGTCACTCGCAGAACACTTTCTTTAACTACGTGACCAAACGATTGTAAAAATGATTGCACTAACGAGATTTCGTTATTTCTCGGTACACCTTCGCTGGGTCGTTCCATCTGGTCTTTAAGCCAATGCAACACTAAGAAACCGCAAGACATTTTTGACCAGTTGCTGATCGGTGGCATGAGATGCCTATTGTTCCGAATTATTTAACTCCACTACTGGTTAGCTTCTAGTAGTTGAATTATATAGTGTAAAAGTACCAGACTGAGTGGATAGGGTCCATAGAATCCCTGGGTTTGTGAGACGTGCACTACAAACAGACAAATATTTGTATCATGCAGCCTGGCTTTATCTTCAAGTTGAAATATCCACTGAAGTTCCGGCATTTGCTCATTGCTAACAAGGCGTAGTTTACGCGTTCATAAATACAGTATGCACGAGGTATTCAGTGGCGTCACCTTCAAACTAAAAGCCAAGAAGTTGTGATCACTTCGCGTGTTGTATGTATTGCATAGGTGAGCAGGTTATACTGTTTAACTGTCACTTATGTAGGAGTCACAGCGGTTAGCCGGGCACCGGGAGATCTCGAAGAATAATTTGCTAAGCGGAGTTTAAACAGCAAAGAGGAAGCAGAACTGGCTGACTTTACTCCATAATAAAAACACTGCACTAAAGCAAACAATGCTACTTATTTAATCAAAAATAACACTCCACCCTCCATCGAGGAAGTTAAATAAAATTTTTAAAAGAAATGGATAGACAATTCATGTGATTTGTTTCAGTAAACTGACGAATCGTAGAGCCTTGACTCGTCCTCATTCGAGTTAAACGATCCGATATCCGGGTACTGATGAACAAGGACCATACGTTTTGACAAGTTAAAGGTAGAGCGCGAGTTCTTCCCTTGAAAATGTAAGATATATACACCAGTGATGACAAGCAAGTGTAAACAGATAGATGAATTTTCATATTTTTTAAACCGGATTTATCCCACTTGAAAGTTGAACCAATCCTTGAGATTTTCTTCGCCAAGACAGAAAGCCTCGTTCACAATACCGTTCGCTTCACATTTGAGAATTTACAAGCAACCTTGACGGACTACCTAAGGAAAGTAGTTCTGATGCACTTGTTTTCTTTTTGGTCAGTACATGACGCGTTACCGTTTGTTTATCATATACTGCCGATCACACTGAAATTCAACTTGTTCGTCACTCACTATGGCCGATTGCGTTTTTCAGGAGCAAGCGGTTGTTCATTCGACACCTAAAGAGCGATTGAGCAACGGATGCGTTCGGACAGTTCCAGCCTCACGCCATGCACACTTTGCTCAGGACTCCCATAGAACTGGTACTACTCGAACTTTGCACCCTTCCACCCTGACCGTTCATCGATGCGATAGTGTTTAGCCTATTGTGTTTGCCCTTCCTCATGTACATTTTTCTCCCCCACTTTTGAATAGAATCAAGTCAGGCCTTTTTATGCACATGAACACCTTGTACTGTACAGTAGATTTGCACAATTAAAAAAAAACAAATAGATATCATGCAGCTTGGGTTAGTGGACGGAATATTCTTTGTATGAAAATTCGTCAGACTGGGCAATTGTTCATTCAAATTTACGCCTGGCCAGTGGGCGTGAGAATAAGTAAATCAGTAACTTAACAATTTGAAGGAACATCCAAAGAGTCTGAGAAATGTCGTACTTGAATTCAGTGCTCTGAGGTGTGTCTATCGAAAATATATTGCCCGTCATGAAGATGGATACATTTTCTGTATCCGTTGCTAATGGTGAACGCAAATATTCTTGTGCATCATAAATTCGTAAACACTGCATCCTGGTCAGGTGAGTGTGATAGCCATCATGTTGGCATTTGATCGCCTTGTCTAAAACGCATTTGCTGGAACCATGAAACTCAACAGAATATGCCGCACGAGGCCACCTCGGGTTTCAGTCAAATAAATTTCAGCAACCATACGAGTAGTATGTTATGACTGAAAGGGCTATTCAGTAAAGCCGATAAAATTATTGTGGCTACTAACTCGTGAAATAAACTAACTAAACCAATATATTACTCCAGGCCATTTTGTTTTGAAGCCGGCCTCATCGATTCATAGTTTATATATCATATCTCTCTCGTATTTGCTACAGTCTTCCACATCTGATACGGAATCATATCAACTTTGTCGTGATCATTGAATGATTTTACACGCAATTCGTTTATGACTAGTTTGATTACAACAGTGTAGCTCAGCTGGATTAAGTATAGTCTGAATCATTCCCATTTACATATATTCAGTATGGCTCGGAAAGGTTAGTGGCCCTAGGTAAACAGTGGCATTTAACCCTGATTCCGTCGGGTACACATTCGTTCGAAACAGACAAATAGGCAATGCTGGCGTAAAGTTTTCAGGCACTACTCCATAATCACTTCATCCGCTACCGTCCTTTGGCTTTCACACTGGAATTTGATATTGTGCAAATTAGTGTTTGGAAACAGTCACGTTCGCTCTATATTACTCACCGTTTTCATGCTGTCCTCTGCATGTGTGGGGTAATCTCGTTTCAAATAACAAAATAAGTCCTTTAGGCAAGTCTCTTCATGGTTGAAAAAAACAGCAAAGCACGTTTTTTTAAAGACGATAATTTTATATCGGCCTAGCTCAATACCACTGTTATAATAATGCTTTTTGTCTCGAAGTGGTTAAAATACAAACTTGAGGTCGCTTAGCATGGTTTTATCGAGCTGTTTTGCCTACATCACATGAATCAGTATATTCTTGGAAGCCTGCTTTTCACTAACCGCTGCTCTTAGACTACCGTAATTGCCTGAACAGTTAGCTGGACACCAAAATGTCTGTCGGGAATCAGGTGTTCTTTTGCGTGTGATACTTTCGGCTGCTTTTTCCGAAACTTCAAAAGGCTTTCTTTTAAGTTTTATCTATATCGTTCGGCTGTAACACACAGTTGGCGCCTAGCTGCCGTGCCATCCGAAGAGAGCACGAGGGCTGGGATACTGCCAGGTTGCCCAAGCCTAGACAGGGGAAGTCGAGAGGCAGAGGTCGGATTCGAACCACGGACCCTCCGGTCAGTAAATTCGCGCTCTAATCATTTGAGCCATCCCGCCCTTTACCTATATCCAGGATGTGTAAATAGCATAATCATGCGTTTTTGAAGATACAGTGTGTTCATCAAGAAAAATGAGGAGCTGTTGGATTTCTCTGCCATATTTTCCCTGCTTCGGAGTTCCTTTTCGACAAATGAGGGCGAGGTTTCAAAATAGGCTTCATTCGAGTATTTGACTGAGAATGTAGCTTGTTCTTGAGAATCAGCGGGGGATTTCACAGCCTTAACATCGCTCAAAAGTGGATTCGCCTTCGGTCACCACGATGTAGAATCCAACGTTACCTTTGAATCGTGGTTCCAAAGATAAGGAGACATTTTTCGGATGCAATTCGTGGATTCAAACGTGTTCGGAAATCACGACTCCAGGAGGTGTTTCAAGACGAAAGCCGTTTTGTTTCTACCTCAGAATGTAAAACATGTGTTTCGCCCTGTACCATACACTCACTTGCCTGTGATTGATCAAGAGCTACAGAGACTGCAATACTGGGGAATCATTCAACCAGTCAGTCAGTGCTAATCAAAAAGTCTAACGGCAAAGTCAGGATATGCGCAGACTTTTCAACTTTCTTCAACGCGGCATTAGAGGATCACCGATACCTACTGCCTTTTCCGGATAAGTTGTTTCACAAGTTGAACGGTGGAAATAGCTCTGCCAAGTTGGATCTATCTGATGCGCATTTGCAGGTTGAAGTGTCGGACGAGATTGAACATCTCCTAAAAATCCTACAGTCAATACAAACTTATTCGGTGAATCGGAAATGTCAGGTGTGATGATAGCGTTGGTACAGAAACGTGGGTTCGTCAATCAAATCAGCTGAAAGTAGCTTATTTATAACTTATCCAGAGAGTGAATGCATTGCCTCTGAACTTTTTGATTGAATATCGAGTTATGAACAGAAGAATCACAAGCCTCTCAGATTGCGGGGGAGATAATAGAGGCGTCTGTTTATCACCGATCACGAAGAGCGACACCCAGAAGGATGCCAGTGATGAAGAAGCAAGTCAGATAGTAGAGGAACCAGCTCTCACAGTAAATGGACTACCTAGCAGTCAGTTTTCATTTTGGCAGGACTAATTGTTCTTCAAATGTCCTTGACAGATGAGCTCTGCTTTCAGTGTCAATTTTGGCCCGCCTGGATTTTCCCATGTGGGCTGATAAAGCCGAAAATAGGCTGCTTCATAATCAAGAGACACGCGTACGCGTCAGTATTTAATAGGTCAGCTGATTCGCATGCTCGTTGGATTTGCGGTTTGGCCAAGCGCATCGGGTTATTAAGGGACTATGCACACTAAAGTTCATGTTATCCAGAAAGTATTAGGAAAACTGTGGTCCACAATAGTTTATAGTTTGTAGTGATGGGACTATCCCCGTAGACTTTTACACAGTGGCCATCGAACAATTTTGGTCAATATATCACTAGTATTCAAGTCATCCACTTTAAAGCGTGGTGTTTGACTCCGCTCAGAACGAAGATGTTTCGCAATTCGGCATACGTTAGGAAAGAATGCACAGTGATTATTTTGTTTGACCGGATTGCAGGCCAATATGGTTCCTTGGACAATCACTTATTTCCCACAAACGAGGACCATAGCAATCATCTGATATCAAACTTAATCCATTCTCAGTTAGTTTCCTAAAGGCGTTTCAATATCACCGCGTAAGGGTTAAAAGTTCGCAATTGCCATTCAACCAAGTAACAGCTGGAATTTCATTGTAAGCCAGAAAGAAATCAATAGTCGGCAATAGTCTGCTAATGGAGCAAACCAGCTTTCCTTTCTGCCAGACTTTTGCGTAAACTGTTCAGGCTTGCGCAGCAGGCTGCATGTTTTGTCTTGTCGGAAGCAAGTGCTCTAATTTGCGTAATACTAGTGTGGTTTTCCTGGACAAAACTTGCCACAAAATAGACTTCCACTGGAAGGACACAAGCGGAATAATCAGCTACTGAACTGAACTTGGCCTTCATCGATTCCTGTGTGGGCAGTGCTAACACGTTCAATGGAGCAAACATGTTGCTTTGCGTGATTTCTATCACACGTCGTACTTGGCGATCCTCTCAAAAATTGGCGCGGTTTTAGCTACAAAATTCTGAATAATATACTGAATGGTGGCAGAATTTCTATGATTTCGATTGATATACTTATGCCAGCCCAAAAACACACCAGTTAGACACAGCTAAGCGTGAGCCGGGTTTTAGTAGACTGTAGCTGTAATTGAGATAACACAGACAGGTGACTGACGGTAAGTCAATATGTCATATTATCGAGTCAAATGAATAACTGACAAATGATCTATTTCAGCTAGCCATATTGAGTCTGGTCAAAATCCGATCGCGAACCAACTGATCACCAAAACACTTTCACTGATGGCTTCGTGTGGAATTCTACAGATAACGTTTTACATCGAGGTGTTTCTCCAGGTTGATCGGTACTAATCGAACATTCCATTAATTGTGCTTAATTGCCGAGAAACTGTCGATGAGTTGATTCAGCGTGACGATCAGCTGGCTCACTTACATATATTCTTACCTCCCGATGTTAAGTACGGACAAACATGGTTGGATGTGATAAGAGTGTTTGACTTACGCACATGAATAATCACGTTTAGCATCTGTAGTTATGAGCCTGATGCAGATTTCAGCTAATCATCCAAATAGCGATTCAGTCAATTCCATGAAAGGCCGTATCTTTTTATTCTATGACGCAATGCTGTCCAGGAGAACATCCAACCAACTATCCCAGTGGTTTACTGCATTGATATTTCCAGGGGGGTGTTTTATGAACACTTTTCAGGATTTGGCAGCCAAGATATTTTTTCGCAGGATATCGCCTTATAATTTCTTGTGGATTGCACGGTGGTATGAAGCATAAACGTCTCGTTATTCCTATAGGTTTTAGCGGTTACGATAGAGACAATCAAACGTTATTCGAGAATCATCCATCAGCAGAATTTGACGTGAAGATGTCAGGCCTTCCGCACAGCGGTAAGACGAAAAGGTTTTGACCCCACTAGTTGCAATGAAGGTTTAGGCCTAAGTCCAAGGGAAGTGCCTGTATACAACTAGATATGTAAGGTTATGGGTGATCGCGAAAGGAGTATTCTCACTACAATTCAGCACAACAATTCTGGAATGACGTGTGCTGCTTTAGGCTCTTGGCTATGTTGTGGAATGTTGAGTGCACTCAACCCTGAACTGACGATGTCACCTCGACTGGTGATGAAACGCTTGCAATCCAACTGCCAAGCTCGGCGAACAGACCAACAACCAATGCTTTAGGCCTTCCTTAACGTTCCTACATTCAGTGACATTGAAGAGAGTTTTAGTAGAAGACTGAATACACTAATAATAGTCTGGTTGAATGAAGCAGATCGAGACTCTCATTGTTCAATCCATCGCAGTTTGTCTCGCTCTGGAAATGCGTGAGGCCTGATCCGATATTTTATTGAGGATAGACAAGACCAAACTTGATCTCGAAAAGAAAAGAACGAACAACTTGCGAGACGAAACGATGTTTGATATGGTAGTGACTGGGAGACTACACTGACAAAGACACATTGCGAAGAATGCCACTCACAGTATTCAACAGATTCGCAGCGTTGTCCTCGAGTTCTCTTGCTCGCTTCAACTTCACGCGTACGTTCTCCAAGAGTTGCTCAGCACTCTCCAATGAGTTTACCGATGATTTCAGGTTATCGTAGTTGCATCGACATCCGACTGTTTTATCCGCATCCGGTATCTGAGGAGGCACGTTTGCTCCGGTGGGTGTAACTAATTTAGCAACGTTCCGCTTGCATCTTCGGTTACCACCAGTTTTAGGGGTTGGAGGTGTGGTTAGTTCTTGAGAATCAACGGACGATTGTACAGAGAAACTTGATGCAGCCTCATCAATTTCAGCAATTCTTTGTCCCTGCGTATCGAAAATGTTCCCTGTATAACGAAAACGAGGGAGCTTTCGCCGTAATGCCGCAGTAAAAATTAACTTTTATTCAAAAAGAGAGAAAGAGCGACGCAGTTGATTCGATCAAATCAGTTAAGATTTTTAGGGTACGTGCATTGGGATAGGTAATAACTTCGCATGCTTTTAAGGGAAGATGTCATCCGGACAATGATACCAATACCTGGGCGACGCTTCGGAGCACCGTTTTGTTCTCGTTGTGAATAATTAACAGTATGTCTCTCGCAAAATTCAGGGAGTAACGAACTCGCCAACAATTGGCCAATGTTTGAGTGCCTAACTGTTTGCGCACGAACAGCTGATCTGCAATGGAATCGGTTCACACTAATTGGGCTTCACTGACAACAAGAAGGCTCTATTGAATACTACCACAGTAGATATACAGTTAAATCAAACGAAGACTTATTTCACCTTGAGTGAAATTTTCCTGGGAGATGTCATCGACAGAGCAACCAGTAGCCACGCCTTCAGAGGATGTGGTTCTATGACTGAAGCTCAAGTGGCACCACATCCTGGGAGATAAACACATTGCTGATCAACCACTCACTGGCACGTCCGTCATAGTCTTACAAGTTGGTAATCTGATGTTTCAGCATACGCCTAACCTAACTAAAAGGATGAAATTACCGATTATTGGCATAACAAAATTAATCGGCACAGTTATGCTGTAAAGTGGATACTACACATGGGGAGGCACGCGAGTAGTATGAGTTGTTCGTGGAATTTCGTTTTACGTCTTTTGAAAAGCGGAGATCTGTCGTGGAATTTGTCGAATCGCTTTGTAACATTTGCTTGGATTTGAGCGAGGAATGACTGGGGTCAATGAATATCCAGGAAAGTTCGAGGAGACGCGTGCAGGAGAAGATGGCTATCCAGTTTTTGGAAATTAGATGCAAATGAGAAATTGGCATCCCTGTCCAATGGTCTGTCACCGGTCAGTTGGCATTTTCTAATATATCACTCCGCAGCGAAGGCCTTCTTCCTTTCAAGGGTAGTGTGATTGGATTTGACAACAAAGACAGAAGTAGTGTCGTCTAACTGAGGCCAACGTGTGCTGAAAATCTGGGTTCCTAATCGTGAATTAAGGATTGCGCCTGGATGTCACGAAGTTGTAAAGAAACCTCCCGGCTACTCCTGCAGAATAGTGGGATCTGTGACTCACCAGACGTACCACAAGCAAGCCGACAGTCGACTTGTCTGCTGATATTTTAAAAGGAATCTTTAGCAATATGAAAAACATCCCTTTGAGAGATTCAGTCATAAAACAAACCGCTGAACTTACCGAAAACCAGTGAACAAAGCAGTCCACCTAAAAACGTCACAAACCACGGTTGCATCTCGTCGAAGTGGATGACAATAATCAAACTTCATCCTTCCATCTGCTACACCTTTATATGTTTTTCCAAAGCGGAAAAACGTTGACGACCATTGTCATAAAATTGCAAATTTCCCAGCCAAAGTCAGAATCCTGACGATCTGTGTGGTTGTGAAAATGCTGAAAGGAATCTGACAGCAACAGGTTTCGTTGATTCACACCCGATGAGTTTTTGTAACACACGTTCTTTCCAACTGAAAATCGATGAGAACCTTGGTACTGCCGACTCACCAACCTGCAGCACTGTCGGAGGGGATTTTTTTCAGCTTTAAACTGAACCTCAGAATACAATGTGTTTCATGATGCGCATATATCACCTTTCACGACAGCAATGTCGAGCTTAATTACATATTGACAATTGATGAATTCAACTGAATGGAACTCCATCGTATTGGGATATCCACGCGGAGAAACAACTACCGCGGATATACTGTTTATCATGTTCCAGCTGATTCATGAACGAACGAGCTAACCGTTTGATTAAATAGTCTGAATAATATGTAATTTAATCCGCACGAAATATCATAGACACAACCGTAGGAAACGAGCACGTATATAGGGAAACACTGAGAACCACTTGCCAGCTACCTTTAAGTTGTTTTGATGGTAACTACATACTATTTCCATTTTAGAATTCAGCTCCTGTCAAATATCCCTTTTCTTTACAGTTTGTTGAGGTATTAAGTCGTCGGTTACAGGGGAACTGGTGAAAAACCAGTCATCGTCGAAAATCATATTAGTCAGCCGATGACGGCAGGGGTTGCATGCAATTCACCTCGAATAACCTTGAAGTTCGAAGTATTGATTATCGCTCACTTAATCGATTGACAGTGTGAACTATGGTGTGTCTATGTCCAACTGATTGGCAATCGCTCCACTTACGAACAGTGTGTGACTCGAGCTTATACTTCATAACGATGCCTCTGAATATACATGTTTGAGTTTCCGTAGAGGAATGTTTACTGGATTTCAAGGAACATATCCGCTTGCATTTGACATTCACGGACTTGAAGCTTTGTGCCTTCTATCGGGTCTCCTTTTTTTGTCGTTTAATCAGTCCATAAATACGAAGATACTAGGTTATGGTGAGGGTTAAATTAATCGAAATCCAACTTTATGGAAACTGTGATTTCGGGATTGTTAAATTTTTATAAAGCAGTTGTAACGGTAAACGAGGAGCACAGGCAGTTCACCTCAGACACATGAAATAATTGTGAAGGAAATCTAAACTACAACTGGGGGTTCGTCTAGACACCAGTTACTGGAAACAAGATGGCATTGGAATTGATGAAATACATCAAAATTAACCTAATAAATTCCATGAGTCAGTTTATCTGGACAGTGTTCACACACTCTATGTTGCGTATGGGTCTTCGGCTAAATGTCAATCGTGATATCTGAGACTTTCCATCCAAATTGGTGTCAATTGTAGAGTATTAATGTTCCTCTTTTTGCAAGGATTATACAAAATCGGAACGAGATAGATGCGTTGGACCTTGTTTTGTCATTGGATCAGCAACTCCCCATGATATTGTCATGTGAATTTTCTAATTAAAATAGGAAGCGGGAGGACACGAAAGTGCAAACATAAGGCCTCTTGGAACAAAGTTCTTTTGAAAGTGTCTCGTGTCATTGAACCTATACGAAAGCTCAATATGGAGAAAAAGTACCAGCTAAGCAGTACACATGCAGCAATCAAATTTAAGCCCCGGTTCCCATTAGTGAGATGCCTCTTTAACGAGATTCTGATAATCCGATATCTACGCCCAACGGTTCACTGACCGTCGCCTGATGTTGCCTCTCTACGAAAGAGGCGAGTGGTTAATTTGCCAAAATTCGATGACTACAAAAATTGCATTCGGCGAGACACAAGGCCATTTCAGTAATATAAACAATCTACCAACATCAATCCTTTCGATTGCATCAGTGACTCATTCAGCAACACTATCTTTCAGTTCCCAGCAATGCGACACGTTCTGGTAAAACGAATTTTTAAAAAGTCATGAGACCCATTTCGAATGGAAAAAATTCTGGTATATTTTCAAGGGATCGGGCGTACTATATAGGTAGATGTGTCCCACGAAGTATGCGATCAACAGAATTCAATACGGCTGAAACTAATTTCTCGAATTTCCTTGTGCGCTTCAAATGTAGCATTACTTCCTCCAAGACATATTCAGCATTTCTCACTGTGTTGACCAGGGTTCTCAGTTTACCGCAGCTACACGGACAGCCAGGTTGCGGTTTTCCGTCCAAATCATCGTTGAGTACGACGGGGTCCGGTCTTTCAAGTAATATATCGACGTTCGACCCTAATCGTTCCGTATTCTGTATCGGCCATCTTGGGTTGTGTATGCTAGGGCTTCGTGAATCAGCTCCATTTGCGTCCCCGTTTGAAGGTAGAATTTGTTCTGAATTGTTGGCCGAGGAGTTTGCAGAAACCTCCTTTGTGGCCTCGTAATTCTCAGGGATGGTTTCTTCTTGCTCAGCATTTTCGCTCACAGTTGCAGGTAATACGGTTTGTTCGTTCCTAGGCGACTCATTCGAATTGTGAACAATGTTATCCACGTGGAAGCCAGTTTGATGCTTTTGGAAGAGTTTCAGTTGAGGGTTGCCTGTAAAACAAGTAAGAACATTCCTTGCGAGCGAAGTTGTGCAGAAGAGATTTTTCCATTCAACATAGCAGGTATGCAAGCTATGATTAACCTCACTCTTCCTCGGGAATATAGCATGGAATATATTTTATTATACAGGAATTAGCAGCAGCTCTTTTACAAGCCTTAGTTAGGGGAAGCATTTGCACAAAATGATCGCATTCGAACGATTTGAATGCACTCTAAATGTTTTTTCACTATCCCCAGTAATCTTGGAACATGAGTTTTCCACAAACAAGTGAAAAAGACCTCTGAACTCCCTGTGCTTTTTTATTCGGCTGGCTTCAGTTCAATTAGTTCAATTAGTTCAATTAATTTGGCCAAAGTTTTGTATATTGATCTGGAAGCGCGAGACTGAGGTGGGCTCAAAATACGAGTGAAGAAATCGCAGCTGAATGATTTGAATTTACCAAGCCACTTGGGATCCGACAACCACCC